GCAGGCAGAGGGGAGGGCAGGTTTGGGCAGGGGGAAGCGGGCAGCAAGGGATGGAGGATCTTAGCCTGGGGGCTTGTTCCCTGGAGACACTGATGTTTTTCCAGGCAAAATCCAATGTGTGCCACACACCTGCAGTCTGAGGTGCCTGGGCTGGTGCAGAGGGGGCCGTGCTGTGGGGCTGGGGGCAGTGCTGATGTAGAGGGGGCCGTGCTGTGGGGCTGGGGGTAGTGCTGATGTCTGGAGATCAGCACCCGGCTTGGTCCCACCCCACCCACGATCCTCTCCGCAGCGGCCAGGCCCCGAGTTCACAGTGACGGTGCAGGAGATGAGCTGGGAAGCCGGCGACAGCTGCTCCTTACCCCGTCAGTCCTGGAGCCGCAGGCAGGACACCGTGGGGAGAGCCCTGGAGCCTCGGCCGGGGCGGCTGTTCCCCACAGGATGCCCTTGGCGCCCACGGCCCTCTGGAAGGCCTGCAGCCGCACGTCCTTCTGCCTGTAGGAGTAGAGCAGGGGGTTGAGGAAGGAGTTGCCGAGCCCCAGCAGCCAGAGGTAGCCCTCGATGACTTTGTAGGGGAAGCACTCGTCGCAGGCGGTTAGCACAACGCTGGCGATGAAGAAGGGCAGCCAGGACAGCACGAAGCAGCCCACCAGCATGGCGACGGTGCGCATGGCCTTCACGTCGCGGGTGGTGCGGGACAGGGGGGAGCCCCCCGCCAGCCCCACCTGCTCCACCTCCCGGATGTGCTGCACGTGCGCCGAGGCGATTTTCAGCATGTCGAGGTAGAGGTAAATGAAGAGAAAGAGCCCCGGGAAGAAGCCGGCGCAGAAGACGATGACCGTGTAGGCGGGCTGGAAGACGGCGAAGAAGGAGCACTTCTCGCGCACGGAGATCTTCTGAAGGGCCGGGACGAAGACCGGGAGGAAGCCCAAGACGATGGCAGCCAGCCAGAGCCCCACCAAGCGCAGCCCGACCCACAGGCCTGTCACCATCTGGAAATAGTGGAAGGGCTTCCTGATGGCCAGGTGCCTGTCGCACGCCACCAGAATCAGGGAGAGGACAGAGGCG